TCGGCTACTTCCGCCGCGGCGCTCGGCGCCTGTCGGAACTGTTCGGCTGTTTCCGGCATCGCTCGGCTCATTCCGCCGCAGCGCGCTCGGCGCCTCCGCTCGGGCGCTTCCGGAAGTGTTCGGGTATTTCCGGACAACGCTCGGGTATTTTCGGCTTCTTTCGGCTCCTTCCGCCGAAGGGAAAGCGAATCGCTGTCCTAGAGTTGTCGAACCACCAAAGTTGGAGGTGATTTCTAAGTCATCGAGTTCAATCGTTGCACTGCGTTGTAAACCCCTAAACACTAACGCAGATCGTTCAGTGTCAGGGTCAGCGCCTCTTAGTTCCAGGGATGGTGATTCCACCACCTCCCTGGGCGATATTCCAGTGTCTGACCAGCCGAAGGGAAAGGAAAGTGAAAGGAAAAGGGAAAGGGAAAGAAAAAAGGGTAGGAGATGAAAAAGGAAAGGAAAAGGGGAAACGAAAGGGGGAAAAGAAAGGGGGGAAAAGAAAAAGGGAAAGGAAAAAGGTAAAGGGGAATAAAAAAGGGGTAGATGAAAAAGGAAAAAGGAAAAGGGGAAAGAAAAGGGGGAAAGGGGAATGGAAAGGGGGAAAGGAAAAGGAAAAAGGGAGAGGGAAAAGGGAAAGGAAAAGAAAAAAGGGTAGGAGATGAGTAAGGAAAGGAAAAGGGGAAACGAAAGGGGGAAAAGAAAGGGGGGAAAAGAAAAAGGGAAAGGAAAAAGGTAAAGGGGAGTAAAAAAGGGTAGATGAAAAAGGAAAGGAAAAAGGGAAAGAAAAGGGGGAAAGGGAAAGGAAAAAGGGAGAGGGAAAAGGGAAAGGAAAAGGAAAAAGGGTAGGAGATGAGAAAGGAAAGGAAAAGGGGAAAGGAAAAGGGGAAAGGGAAAGGAAAAGGGGAAAGGGAAGGGGAAAGGAAAAAGGGAGAGAAAAAAGAAGGGAGAAAGAGAAAGGAAAATGGGAAAGGAAAAAAGGAAAAGGGAAAGAAAAAGGGAAAAGGGAGAGAAAAAAGGAATAGGAAAAGGGAGAAAAAGGGAAAGGAAAAAGGGAAAGGACAGGAAGCACAAGATCCTGGTCTGTGGTCACGACCCCTCCCATGCCCTGAGAGGTCCCGGGGCTGGGCTGGACTGGGCTCTGGGCTGGCTCAACCCAGCCGAGTTCAACTCAATCCAACCCCTCCCAGCTGGGTTGGGATGGGTTGGGCTGGAAACGCAGGAGAAGGAATGGCCTTTCAGGACACACAGTCTGTTGGTGAGAAGCTCAGGTGTTTATTGGTGCAGCATTGATCAGAGTTAGCAGCATTGCTCAGTGTTTCCAGAATTTGCTTTTCCCAGCCAAGGCAATGCTGAGCACTGACCAGGATGAGAGTGGGAGAGGGAACTGTGTCATAGGCTGAGGGTTTCCACCAGCCTGGCCAGGGCACACCTAAGCTGGGCCACTCAGGAGGTTCAGGACACACAGGACCACGTACAGGGCTGCCACAGCTGGGAGGCATTGCTCCACAGGGAGAGCTGATCCATCCTCCTGGAGCTCCACTCCACTCAGCCTCACCAGGGCCACGGTCAACCTCTGCTCCTCCTCTCCTGGGAAGGAGAGCAGCTTGGCATCCACCTGGAAAGGCTTCTGCGCCTGCTCCAGGTCATGTTCCAAGAGGTTTGCAACCTTCACAGCAACAACAAACAGAGCAAAATCAGTGTTTCAGCACTCCCATCCATGGAGTCCTTGGATCAAGGAGCTCATGGGCTTGGGGAGTGTCAGTGGCTCACAGACACTGAATAACCCACAGGTGGGACTTTTCCTCCTGGGAGACTCTCAGGTTCATGTGTTCAGTTCCCAGTGAGTTGGTGATGTGCAGGAAATTAAAGCAAATAGGCCGTTTTGGGGCTAGTTTTTTTTTTTAAATCTGGAGCCAAGGAGCTCAGGGGATTCTCAGCACCATTCCCAGACAGTGGTGAGCAGCTGTGGCCAGTTTAACCTTTATCAGCAGCAAACCACTCACTGGAAGTGTTGGGGCTTCATGTCTTGGGGTGATTTCCCTCAAAGGGAGTACTTTAATCCCTGCCAAACTGGAAGGAATTACTCCTTCCCTTCTCCCCACTGTTACCTCAAGTAGTGACATCATGGAAATGTTGCTTTAATTAAAAGCACCTCCCTGATCCCTTCAAACGAGCCAAGTGTGATGTGTGTTCTCACCAACTTCAGCTGTTGGGACACAATCTTCCCTTCCAGGGATTTCAGCAGCAGCGGCAGCTGATCCTCCAGGAGCTCTGAGGAATTAAAGGAGGTTTGGATCAAAAAATCCCCACCAAGGTGTCAGAGACAACTGGTGAGATGGGAAGGGTGAGCAGGATGGGAAATGTGAGCAGGACAGGAAGGAGGAGCAGGATGGGAACAGTGACCATTTCTTGCAGGAAACATCTGTTTGGTCGAAAGTTCTTTGAGTGTTTTAATCCAAATGATTCCTGCAGCCTCACTGTGAGAGGGACAAGGCTGTTACTCACACAGTCATGGAATATCTTGAGCTGGAAGGACCCACAAGGATCATTGTCCAAATTCTACACAGCATGGGACATCCCAGCAATCCACCCTGTGTATTGGCCAAACACTCCTTGAGCTCTGCCAGCCTTGGGGCTGTGCCCACTGCCCTGGGGAGCTGTTCCACCTCTGGGGGAAGAACCTTGTCCTAATATCCAACCTAACCTTCCCCTGACACAGCTCCAGTCATTCCCTGGGTCCTGTCACTGCTCCCCAGAGCAGAGGTTGGTGCTGCCCCTCAGGAGGAAGCTGTGACTGTGATGTCCTGTGCTGAGAGGGAAGAGGTGCAGTGAAGGGTTCTCCTCTTTGCTCCCCTCCATGGAATTAGGATGCAGATGCTACTTGGGAAGGAGGAGGAGGAAGAGGAGGAGGAGGAGGAGGGGATGGCAGGATTGGGAGCCAGCCCTGCCTTGCTGTCCTTGTGAAAGACCCAAATCTCACCAGCCAGAGCGTCGAGGCTGTAGGTGATTGCCTCTGCCAGCTGAACACAAAGATCTCTCGAAGACTCCTTCAAGAGGCTCAACAGGTCTTTTAAGTCTTGGCTTTCTGTTTTCAGCTCATAAACATCAGTTTCCACAACAACTGATTCCAGCTGGGGGCACAAGGAAAGGAAACATCAGGATTTGAGGGAAGAGGCTGTGGATAGTCCCTTGCAGTGTGATCTGTGCCTCCCTCCCAAAGCCATTGATGAGGCTGTAGGTGAAGCTCCAGTTACACCCACAACATGAGATTTAACTGGTTTGATCCCTTCAGGTGAAGCTGCTGGATCTATCCAGGACTGATTCCAGCAGCTGATTCCATCCTGAGCCCCTTCTTTCCCTGGGCAGTGCTGGAGACCAGAGGTGTTCTGAGCGAAGCGATTTTGGCTGGGCAGTTGTGGCATAGCACGGGTGACTTCTGGGGCCAGAGGGGTAAGAAAAACTCAACTTACTTTCTCACTAAGCTCTTGAAAGAGGTTCCTGTCTCTCATCACAGCTTTGATGGCATTTAAGAACACAGGCAGCAGGTGAGAAGACAACTCGGAGAAAACTCGACAGTTGATGGTGACTTCTCCCATCACTTCTCCTAATTTCCCTTGTAAGGGACCTGACAACCAGAAAGAGCCCAAATGTGTCACTTCTGAACTAGGAGGTCACTGGCAGCCCTAGACCAGGAGCCTGGAACACTTCTGACAGTGTTCTTGCAGCAACGTGCAGCTTGGGCAGTTGTCATTCCCCAGGGAACAGGCAAACACATCCCTTGAGTGGTGTTTTACCCTGGGAGATTCCATCTTACCCAAAGCAGGTAAAAGCTGTGCAAGTGGAAGCAGCAGGACACATTACTTACCATCAGATTCAAACCTTGAACATCTCGAGTATTGTATTTGGAAATATTCCAGATCTGCAACAGGATGAAAAGGACATTTCTGGTTTTCTACCACAGTCTCCCCCACCCTGTGTGCTCCCTGGCTCTTTTGAGTAGGAAAAGAAACAGAAAGTTGGAGTTGGTGATGTTAGAGATCTCCTCCAAGCTTGATGATTCTATAACACCAAACTCTGCTCTCTGTGCCATTTCTCACCAGGAGCTCTGCAGCTCCTGGAATGAGCTGAGACTTCTTTCACCTCCTTCCCAACCCCTTCCCAAACTGCCTCTCTCCCCTCTTTGACCTTCCCTGGGTGGTTTCTGTCCTTCACACTATCTCCCTCTCCTTGCAAACTGCAGCTGTGGGGCTGAGTGATGCTTCAGAAAATGGTTTTCCTCTCCAGCACCGTTCCCTGAATGGAGGAATTGTTCTCTTCTGGAAGTTCCTTACCCCATGCTCCATCCCTGATGATGATCTGGATGGGCCTGAAGGCCAAGACACAGCCCTTGGGTATGACTATGCTTTGTTTTCTCTCTGTGATGCCCTGGGCAGTGAAAACAACCTGTTAGATTACCTGGGGGCAGGTGTTGGGGAAGGAGCAACACCTGAACCCAGAGAGAAATCAAACCTGTGTGCACAGCGTGGCATAAACTTTGGTCTTGAAGCTTCCATCAGCCTTGGAGGATTCCTTGTAGGTTATCTCCTCTGAGGCCTCCAGGGTCTCATGGACCACGTAGAGATTGAAGTGAGTTCTCTGCAGCTGTTGGATGAAGGAGTGATCCATGTTGATTCTCCTAAGAGAGAGAAGGGGTTCTCTGTGAGCTCAGAGCCAGGAGCCTGGTGCTGCCTCCCAGGAGTAAATATCACCATGGCAGGGGATTTTTGGGGGAAAAAGGCAGGAAATGGGCTGGAATCTTGCTGTCCCTGGTGTACCACCTCGAGTTCTGTGTCAAGTTCTGGGCCCTCACTCCAAGACAGACATTGAGGGGCTGTTCCCCAGAGAAGGGAACAGAGCTGAGGAAGAGGCTGGAGTGTCGAGTCAGTGCTGTGAGGAGAGGCTGAGGGAGCTGGAGGGGCTCAGCCTGGGGAACAGGAGGCTCAGGGGAGACCTTATGGCTCTCTGCAGCTCCCTGACAGGAGGAAAAGGTTGTCAGGCACTGGAATGTGCTGCCCAGGGAGGTGGTGGAGGCACCAGCCCCAGAGGAGTTCAAGGAAGGACTGGACGTGGCACTCTGCTCTGCTCTAGTTGACAAGGTGGTCATGGGTCACAGGTTGGACTCAATGATCCTGAAGGTCTTTTCCAGCCTTGGTGATTCTGGGACTCTGTGTTCCCCTTCTGCATCTGAGGGGGATCAGTGCAGTGAGGCTGTGGCCTGGAAGGTCACACTGTGGGTCTGCCCTGGTCCTCATACCCCTCTCCAGGCTCAAACGGTGGGAAAAGACACCTTGGCTCCGTGTTGGAGTGTTCCCAGCTCGGGATGACAAAGAGATCTCTGAGCTGTACAAGGCTTCCATGGCCTTCAGGATTATGCCTGGTTAGTCATGAAATCATTATGGAATCTCATGATGGTTTGGGTTGGGAGAGACCTTAAAGCCCATCCATTCCCACCCCCTGCCATGGGCAGGGACACCTTCCACAGCCCAGGCTGCTCCAAACCCCATCCAACTTGGCCTGCCTAGGGGGAATTTGTGCTCTATGACCTCACCTTGGTTTTTGGCTGTTGAAAACCCATTGTGTGACCTGAGGTGGGGTGGAGAAAAATGACCAGAGCACATGTGTCCCCTTGGCTGTGCCTTACCTTTCTCTTCTCAGCCCCTCCAGTGACTCCATGAGGATATACTTCTTCTGTGGCTTGATGGAAAACTCCGTGGACAAGGAGGTTTTTCCTTTTATCTCCATACTCACAGGGCTGACAGAAAAGCTGACATCCCCATCCACATGGTCAGTGGTGCATTTGGTGAGAGTAAATACTGTAGAACCTTCACCATCTCTCATGGTCTGGAGAGACTCTGAAACAATCCCAAGCTTTGGCTTAGGGAGGATCACACAGACTCAGCAGGACAAGCATTTCATGCTCAGCAAGGCTGGAACGTGGTACATTTCAGCCACAAACGATTCCCAAAACATTATCTATGGAATTTGTGACCTTAACATTAGTAAATTTGGACTTTACCTGTGCTTTTCTCATCCCCTTCAGGCACCAGCACATCGAGCAGCCTGAACCCTGTCCTCTTGTAGTAGGGGCTTGGGTGGAACATGGTTTTGGGTTTCCTTCTCAGCAGGCAGAGGAGTCCAAAGTTCTCATTGTCTGCTAAGCTCTCAACAGGGACCAGGTCTGCGCTTTGATCCCCTTGATTCGTGATGAATTTGGTGAGTTTTTTAAACATTCTGCTGCCTGTGCTTGGAGGAAGCAAAGCCAAGTGGATTTGTGCCTTGGGGAAGAGGCAGCACGAGCCAAACTGCTTGAAATGAGAGCAGAACGTAACAAAATGTTACTTATTCAAGATTTATTCAAAACAGTGAGTCCAAACCCCCCACATTGTGCAAGGGCACGATTTTCACAGGGCTGGGTGGTGGGGAAGTGTTTGGAGGGGAAGGAGCAGGAGCTGTGGGTTATTTGGGCTGGTTCCTCCTTTGCCAATGAACCAGAGTCCCAGTGCAGCCAGGATTGCAGCTGGCAGGCTCTGAGGGGGCTGATTTGGGGGGCAAATCTCCCCCAAAATACACAGAAGGCAGCCCAGAACATCTCCCTGGGCACACCTGGTGCTGTGCAGGGCAGAGTGTTTGTTTGCTGATACAACTCGTTACCCAATCGTTTTTGTTTCGCTTTCCTGCTGTGCAGGATGGAGCTGGGGAGGAATCAGGGAGTGCCAGAGCACTCACAGACAGTTTCCCCCGTGCCTCTTCCATCCCCAAAGCCCTGGCATGGGGCACTTGCCTGTGGGTGAGGTGGAGGCTGTGCTGGGTGGGCAGAGCGTGGGGCACAGTGTGGGATGCTGAGCTGTCCCCTCTGGAGAGCAGCAGGACCCAAGTTCTCAGGCTGCTCCTCTGCTCAGAGATCTGATAAACAAGGGAGCTGTGCATTGGCTCAGGAAGCTGAAGAAACCACAAACCCAAAGAGGAATTGATCTCCCTTACCTTGTTCACCGAGTAGTCCCCGAAGAACTCCTGGGCAGAGGCACTGCCAGCCCTGGGCTGTGCTGGAGGATCTGTGGCTGCTCTTCACATCAGCTAATTCCCAGCAGTGAGGTCACTGAAGGAGTTTCCTGCCCCTCTCAGCACTGTTCCTGTTTCACAGAAATGAAGCTTGCACAACTCTTCTTTCAGAAAGCCTCAGTTGTTGGGCAAAGAGTCAGAGCCTGTTACAGGTTGTGGGGAACTCCAACTGCCACAGATGGAGAGGGAATCCCATCCCTGGGAGTGTTCCAGGCCAGGTTGGATGGGGCTTGGAGCAATCTGGGCTGGTGGGAGGTGTCCCTGCCCATGGCAGGGGTGGCACTGGATGGGCTTTAAGCGTCTTCCAACCCAAACCATTCATGATTCCTTGGTGTAACTTTACAGATCCATGTAATGTTTCCAGGCAGAAAGGGACCTGGGAGTGTGGATGGACAGGGAGCTGAACATGAGCCAGCAGTGTGCTCAGGGGGCCAAGAAGGCCAATGGCATCCTGGCCTGGAGCAGGGACAGTGTGGTCAGCAGGACCAGGAGGTGATTCTGCCCCTGCACTCGGTGCTGGTGAGGCCACACCTTGAATCCTGTGCTCAGCTCTGGGCCCCTCAGCTCAGGAGGGACATTGAGGGGCTGGAGCAGGTCCAGAGCAGAGCAACGAGGCTGGTGAAGGGCATGGAGCACAAGTGCCATGCGGAGAGGCTGAAGGAGCTGGGGGTGTTCAGCCTGGAGAAGAGGAGGCTCAGGGGAGACCTCATCACCCTCTGCAACTCCCTGAGAGGAGGCTGGAGTCAGGTGGGGGTTGGTCTCTTCGCCCAGGCAACCAGCAGCAGGACAAGAGGGCACAGACTCAAGCTCTGCCAGGGGAGGGTTAGGTTGGATATTGGGAAGAGCTTTTTTCTGGAGAGTGATCAGACATTGGAATGTGCTGCCCAGGGAGGGGGTGGATTCACCATCCCTGGAGGTTTTCAAGCTGAGACTGGATGTGACACTCAGTGGCATGGGCTAGTGACCATCGTAGGGTTGGACTTGGTGATCTTTGAGGTCTTTTCCAACCCGGTTGATTCTATGATTCTCTTTTACAGATGGAGAAATGAACTCAAGAGGGGGTATTGGGAAGGAATTCCTGGCTGTGAGGGTGCTGAGGCTCTGGCACAGGTTGCCTAGAGTATTTCTGGCTGCTCCATCCCTGGAAGTGTCCCAGGACAGGCTGGATGAGGCTTGGAGCTAGTGGGAGGTGTTCCTGCCCATGGAACTGGACGAGCTTCAAGGTCCCTCCCATCCCAAACCATTGCAGGACTGATTTCTATGCCTGTTTAACAGCACAACCCACTCACATGAAAATTCCAGGGCTCACAAATTCCAGGAGTCAAACCCAAGCTTTTACCTGAATACTTCACTTTATTAGTTCCTCTTAGAATACTGTACAAAGGAGTAATAAAAATATTCACACTTTATTGTAGAAAGTTCTCTACAGGAGACTCCTGAATCCACAGCAAAAAGAAAAGGCTACTGGGGGGAAAAAAAAAACCCAAACCCAACAAACCAACCCTAAAACTCTGTACAGAACATTCCTTTAAAAACCTCCCAAGTAACTCAGCTCATGGAACTGCCCCAGGAGGATGTGGATACACCAACACTCGCATGCTTAAAGGGTATTGTAGGCAATGAGAAAGCAACAGAAGTCACAATGAGAACTATGAATGTGTTACCCAGTGCTTTCCCTCCCCGAGGGCTAAAAACACCCCAACTTCTACAGGCATTTAAAAAACAAAGTACTCAGGATTTGTTAGCCCTAAATCTTGGGGATTTTAAAGGCTTTTTGGAAGGGTTTGGGCACCCTGGGAGCTCTGAGAAATGGATCCCAAGTCAGGAGCCCCAACCCAGGAGCAGCAGGCTGGGGGGACTTGCTGGTTTTCCATGTCCTGGAGCAGGGACTAAGGAGGCTTTGCCCAGGCTGCTGCCAGCTCCTGAGATGCTTCCAGGCTCTCAAAAGCTTCTCTCTTTCCTTGCAGGACCCAAAAGAAAAGCCCTTTTGAAGCACCTCCTCACCAGGAACTCTCTCAGTCCTAAGTTGGAGACACCTCAGTCTCTCTAGGGGAGATTTGTCCTGGTCACTGCAGAGAGTCAGGACAAGTGTGGGAGGGAAATCTGTCGAGTGTGACCAGAATCCCACTGAAAATCAGGGATGATCAATGATCTCCTTCAAAGCAGAACAC